GATCCACTTCTCAGCTGCTTGGAAGGCCATTGTGGATGGGAACTCAACTAGGCCATTTTCAAGGTCACCGACACCTCTAAGATCCCAGTATATTTGCCCTCTGAAAGCACAGAAGCCACCTCATTCACTAATTATTTCACTCATTCATTCATCCTAAAGAGGTCTTTCAAGCACATCTGAAGTATAGAGCCAGCATCACATTCTGGAGATACTGTCGTGACAAAGATGCTGCCCTTTCCCTGGAGAAGCCCATGGCCAAGTTGAGAAACAGAGTTAAATTATGAGATGCAAAGAAGTCCATCTAATAATAGAAGTAACTGGCTTTACCTGGGGATGCAGTGGGGTGAGGGAGAGTGAACAGAGAAGATTCCACAAAGAAGATGCTTACACTGAGTTTTGAAGGATATGTAGGAGTTTGTCAGAGGGACTCAGATGGAAGGGACTTTCAGGCAAAGGGAACAGCATGTAAAAAGTCTTATAAACTTTAAACACCTTATAACTGGCAATATAGATGTAAGGACAAGAATTGAGGCTGCAGGGGCATTTGGGGTGAAGTCGTTAAGGACGTTGCACTAAAGGGTTTGAAATGTATCCTGAAGGCAATGGCAAGAGGAGTCACTGGGTCCTATTCACATTTTAGAAAGATCTCTCTGACTACAGTGGAGAATGGATTGGAGGGGACAAACCCAAAACAAACCAATGAGGAGACTCATAGGGAAGTATTTTAAAGTCACTATTTGCAAAAATTATGGCTGCATAGCAGCATCAGCTGGGGAGCTTTAAACACTACCAATGCCTGTGCTCCACCCCAGAGAGTCTGACTTCATTGGTCTTGGGGGGGACCTTGGCTTTGGGAGTCGTAAAGCCTCCCCAGGTGATTCTAATGTGCAGTCATAAAGAGACCTTAAGATAACGGTAACCCAAACCCTGGCACATGGCAAGTACTCAACACAATTCTTTTTTCAAAAAATCAGTATGAAAACAGTCATGCTGTCCTGCTTTTGGCTTCACCCCACTTTCAGGGGGACATGTTTGGATGAACAATTGGCTTTTATCACAGAGGGTTTCAAGTGCAAAATCCACCCTCAGTAGATCATCTTCGACATCCAGAAATCCAGTGCTAACACTGAAAGCAACAACCTCCCTTCACATACAGAGAACAGACCTGGCAAGTTGCCTGGAGGAGCTGGAGCTACCTGGCTGGGATAGAGGAGGAGGCTAGGGCTGGAATCTGAGTTCTAAGAGTTACCTGCAGTACCTAGAAGCATCTTCCACCTAGAGATGGCCTAAATTGGTGGCAGGATGGATGTAAGGTTTGGTAGAATGAGGAGCAAGAAGAGAAACAGGAAAAGGAGAAGGAGAAAGAACAAGGGAGAAAAGTGAGACATAAGCCCCACATTTGTAAAATGTTATCCTTGTAACATTTTTGCCCTACCCAGATTTAGGTCAGAGATTTGATGCCCAAAGCCTAGCACCTGTTTTGATTCTCTTCCAGGATGTTTGTCTAACGACACTGGATATAGAAAGAACAAAATTATGACCCATTAATAGCTAGGAAGGCACTTTATTACCACAGTCTAAAACCTAAGAAAGGCTAAGTTGTAGAACATGGCTCAGCCTGAGAAGCCCAGGCAAAGAACTCCTTCCTGTACCCTCTAATGAATCTGAAGTTGCTAGGTAGCAGAATGAGCACGAATTCCACCTACTCAACCACTGCATGGATGAGGATCATAGTCATGCTTCTATAATAAAGGTCAGCAAGCTATAGCCATAGGCTAAATCTAGCCCAACACCTATCTATCTATCTATCTATCTATCTATCTAATTATTTATTAGGACAAAGTCTCACTGTTGCCTAGGCTGGAGTGCAGTGGCGTGATCTTGGCTCAGTACAACCTCCACCTCCTGGGTTCAAGCAATTGTTTTGCCTCAACTTCCTAAGTAGCTGGGACTACAGGCATGTGTCACCATGCCCGGCTAATTTTTGTATATTTAGTACAGACGGGGTTTCACCACATTGGCCAGGCTGGTCTTCAACTGCTGACCTTGTGATCTGCCCGCCTCAGCCTCCCAAAGTGCTGGGATTACAGACATGAGCCACTGCACCCGGTCCCAACGCCAATTTTTGTAAATAAAGATGTATTGGAACACAGCCATGGCCATTTGTTTGCTTTTTATCTGTGACTGTTTTCACTCTACAACAGTAAAGTTGAGTATAAGTTTGAGTTGTTGCAACAGAGTCCACACAACTCACAAAGCCCAAACTGCTTTCTAGTTTGCCCATTACAGAAAAAGCATTCCAACTCCCACTCTAGGAAAAGACTCACTCAGGTTGATTTAACACTTGACAGACCAGATGCAAGACAGGTGGAACCGTGTGTGAGCACTGGCCTGTTCAGAACCTGCCAATAAAATAGGGCTTATTGAGGGGCTGAATTTCGGATCAACCTGCTTACAGGTTCTTCCTTGCTTAGGATGGACCTAGTAAGGAATAGATGGGCAAAGGCAAGGCTGGTGTATTAAGATGAATGGTGGGTTCTCCTGCACTGCTGACAGAGAGCCGTGTAGACTGAAGGTGTTACAAATTCAGTCTCAGAAGCAATGCAAGGGCGTGAGCAGGATGTTCAGCCTATACTACTAAAGGTAGAGTAGAGACACTAATCAAAACACGGTCTGATCATCATGCTTCTGCAGCTTTTCTACAGCTGTTTCCACGCCCTTAACTGCCCGTCCTCCCTCTCTATGAAATAACTGACTGTACCCTTCCCTGTATTTCCATACCACTTGGCTCATAACTCTTGCAAATTGTCTCATGTTTGTTGACTTGTCTGTCTTATCGGTGGTTGCCATCCTCTTAAACTGACTGATGACTTTTCTCTCCTCCCTACCCCTAAGCTCTGGGTGTCTGTGTCCAACTGCCTATTCAACATCAGCTTGGATATCTAATAGGCATCTCAAATGTGGCTGCCATTATTTGTTATTTTGAACATATTTTTTAAAAAGTATGCAGTATTCAATGCTAGGCACTCTTCTAAGCACTTTACCCAAAATACAACACTTAATTCTTACCTCCCCAATCCTGTTTCTAACCCAGGCTTCTCCATCTCAATAAATAACATCTCTCTCCACTCAGTTCTTCAACGTTCTAAGGGTCAGCCTTCATTCCTCCCTTTCCTTCACAGTCGGCATCTATGGCAGATGTGTTGGTGCCCTGCACACATCCAGTCTACACTCACTGTTCCCATGCATGCCCACCTGATGGTTTCCTCCTGTAAGCACCTGTGACTTTTTGCCTGAGGGCTTCTTCAAGACAGAAGAATATGCACACTCTGCCCATAGAGCATGGAAGAAGTGCTGGGGAGTTTCCAAGAGTTGTCCTCAACCAATACTGGATGAGAACTCATCAATAACTACCCCAACTTTGCACCACCCCCATGGTGGGATAGCTGTGAGGCATGAGATGTGCCCACTGGATTAAGCCCCAGTTGCCCACAATGGTAACCTGCTCATTGATGTGCCCTATATCGACTTCATTTCCTTGATTGTACCACTTCCCCATTCTCCCACCCAAACTCCCTGGGATTGCCTCCCAAACAAACTACTTGTGCCTGACTTCTTATCTCTGAGTCTGCTTCCGAGACAACCCAAGTCATCAATATTCAACTGAACATCCTGCAAATAATCACTTCTCACACGTCCACCACCACCACCCTTGTCTAAAAGTCCAAGGTACCATCATGTGTTGCCTGGAGTACTGCCACAACTTTCTAGCAGATCTCCCTGCTTCCTCTATGGCCCACCCAGAGCCTGTGTTCCATACATGAGCCAGACTGTACTTTGTAATACATGAATCAGATCAGATGATTCCCCTGCCCAAAACCCTCTGATGATTTTTCATCATACTTAGAATAATGCCCAATTAATTAACCAGTAATAGCAATGCTTTATATAATCTGGACTCCCCCATCCACTCTAGATACTACCATCACTACTTCTCCCCTCTTCACATCACTCCAGTCCTTGAATATGGTCATTTGGTTGCTGCCTGACCATCTTTGCACCTGCTGTTCCCTCTGCCTGAAAAGCACTTTCTACTTTTCTTGGCATGACTGGCTCTTTCATATTAAGGAATTACAGTATCTATCATTAATGAAGTCCCTCTTATCTGCAGTTTTGCTTTTCATGGTTTCAGTTACCCAAGGTCAATTGCAGTCAAAAAATATTAAGATATTTAGAGAGAGAGAGAAAGACTGCATTTACATAACTTATAGTATATTGTTGTCATTCTATTGTTGTTCTTAATCTCTTGCTATGCCTAATTTATAAATTGAACTTTATCACAGGTATGTATGTATAAGAAAAAACATAGTATGTATAGGGTTCGGTAATATCCATGGTTTCAGGAGTCCCCACTGGGGGGTCTAGGAGCAAATCCTCCAAGGATAAGTGAGGACTACTGTAACTTTAATGTCACCGTCTTGGAGGAGCCCTCCAAGAGTGTATAATCTGAAATAATTCTCATTCCTCATCACTATCCCTTTATCCTGCTTTATTTTCATCATAGCATTTTTCATATCTAAAATTACACATTTACTTTTTCATTTGCTACATTTCCTAGTTGACTGGAAGCTCAAGGGGAACTTGTCTGTTTCTCTGTATCCCTAGTACCTAAAACAGTGCCCAGCCCATGTTAGGGGCTCAATAAGTATCTGTTGAGTGTATGAATGAGTAATTCAATGAATGGACAAGCGATTCCCCTACTGGGCTAGATTGTGAACTCATGACACAGAAGACATCAATAACATTTGAAACAATGAACAAGAGAATTGGTCCATGGAAAGACCAAAATCTACGTCCTCCCCAGGCCCCATCCAAGGACATCTAGCCCTTTCCACTAGGAGTCCCATCGCACTGGGTCTCACTTCCCCCTGTTGGTTCATCTCCACTTCCATAAAGCTCCTATCTCAGGCCACTCTAACCACTCTGTCCTTGCTTTTTAGGCCTTACCAGAGGGGCAGACAGCTTCGTGGGACACAGCCAAGGAGGATGAAAACCGCAATAAGAATCGATATGGGAACATCATATCCTGTAGGTGCCCTTCTGGGAGCTCCTAAGATTCGGGTGTTGAGGACACAGGGGAAAAGAGGCTATTACTATTACTTACCTGGAATTTGTTATCAAATAATCTTTGATGTCTCTAGCTTTGTATCCACATGCCAAGATGGAAGCTTTATTTCAGCCTTATTGTCATCCCTAGACTGGATGACAGAGCATGGCTGATCTCAGCCGGAGGGAGCAGGCAGGGAGCTGGGTCAGGGCACAGCAGAACCATGAAGCCTCTTGGGGTAGAACCTCTGTAGGCTGGGTCTCACCGAGCATTGCCTGCTCAATTCCTCAGGTCGGGGAGGAAGCCCAGTCAAAAGGGCTGGCATGCAGAAGACCCCACAGCTGGACAAAGAGATGAGCTCTGTGTTCCCAGAAGCTCCTCTAATTCAAAGGAGGACTTTGGCAGCAACCTGGGGTGAGGAGCATGGGCCCCAGCCTGTGAGGGAGGGGCCGAAGCACCCGGGCAAGAGAATGGTGCTCCTCCAAGAAGGTGGAGTCACATTGGCCGATGCTCAGAAGTAAAGGCTGATGCTCAGAAGAAGCCAGTAACTCTGGCATACACCTGGGGCTTGGGGTATGCCCAGCTCAGGCCCCACAGGAGCCCGGGGCTACTCCTATCATACAAGAGACAGAGTTTAAGGCAACACAGATTCTACCTGACCCCACTATAGCAGGGCAGGGGCTCCGAGGTGAGGGCCTGCCCTCAGGTCTGCATCAATGCAACTCGGGAGGTGCTGAGCCTGTAGGGGAAAGCACGTTCTTATGCAGGGCTAAGGAAGGACATTGCCTGTGCTCAGCAATGAGATTTACCTTTCCTGTAGGCAACCCCAGTGAGTGACTCATTGATGAAGTCAGCGGTGCAGAGTAGTTAGCGCCCTCTGGAGTCAAACTGCCCAGGTTTCTATCCCAACTGTAGGGCCCGGGGAAAGTTACCTGACCTCTGTAAACTTTCATATCCTCCCCTTTAAAATGATGAAGATAATAGGAGGAGCATTTAAAGGCACATAAAACTCTTGCTGCAGTGCCTGGCACCATGACTCTTACCCATAGGGTTACTTTCTTGAGGTCACTGATGAGCAGCATGGATCTATCATTCCACCTTATTTTATTAACCAGGATTCACTGAGTACTCAGGACATGTCCTGTGGGGACATGGAAGAAGGCAGGTTGGTGGGGGAGAGGTGGGCATGATCAGATGTCCATTTTGGAAAGATCACTAGGGCAGCAGATATGGAAGTTGTACTTCATTGGGAAAGGCTGGTAGCAGAGGGATCTGTCAGCAGACTACTGCAAGAGTCTCACCAAGGGATAATGGGGCCTGAACAATGACAATAACTTGTGTGTGACAGGTGCATGGTATTCAGTTCTGGGGGGTGAGGAGGAGACAGACTGCCACAGAACTGAATGTCATGCATAGGTAACACACAAGTATTGTCACTGCCAAACATTGGTAGGTACAGCCTTCAAAGTAACATAAATACAGAGAAGACAAAGTTATCTCGTACAAAATGCTAAGCATGTATTCTAATTAGAACAGGAGTCTACAACAGCCTTTGTCTGACTCAGTGTAACCAACCTGGACCTTTTGACATCTCACCAATGGTGTGAGGAGCATCCCTTGGTCTCAGCTCAGAGTAATCCAGTTCATCCAAAAGGAAAAAAAAAAAAAAAAGGATCCTGAATGACAAATTATTTCTAGCACAATTCAGAGTTTTGTTTTGTTTTGTTTTGTTTTAACTGTCTAGACATTGCCTAAGAAAAAACTTGGAGGAAGAAAGAGTAAGATACAGGCAGATTGTAAAGGAAGAAAAAGGCAGAAGTTTTAGCTTAGCTGTTTCCTGTGCTGATTTAGGAATGGGCTATGAATGGTAGAACTAATCAGAAAACATTTATAATTTTTCTCTTGGAAGATGGTAATTCAGACAGCAAGATTTCTTGCAAGTGAAGTGTTGAGAACTGATATTCAAACAGTCAGCAAACATGTATTAAGACTTATGACATGTAGGCCTTCTCTAAGCAGACCCTGTGATGGGTCCTGGGAGGTGGAGCTCCTGCTCCTGGGAGCCCCCACTCCGCCACAGGGAGCTGCTTGCCCTGTCTGGTCCCCAGCATTCTCTGCTCCTGCACTGTGGATACTGTACCCTAAAATATATAGTCACTTATCTCCCTGTTAGGCTGTGAGTTCAGACAGGGTCCATACATTGTAAGTTATGTGATCTTAGTCCATCACTCTAACCTTTATTCTCTGTAAAACAGGTTTAAAAATGTCTTTCTCCTAGAGATGTGGCACAGATAAGGAAAAAATGACAGCCGGGCGTGGTGGCTCATGCCTGTAATCTCAGCACTTTGGGAGGCCCAGGCAAGCAGATCCCTTGAGCTCAGGAGTTCAAGACCAGCCTAGGCAACATGGCTGAACCCCATCTCTACAAAAAGTACAAGACGTTAGCTGGGTGTGGGGGTGCATGCCTGTGGTCCTAGCTACTCAGAGGGCTGAGGTGGGGGTATTGCTTGAGTCCAGAAGGTGAAGGCTGCAGTGAGCCATGATTGCACCACTGCATTACAGCCTGAGTGACAGAGTGAGACTCTGCCTCAAAAAAAAAAGGAAAAATAAAGAAAAAGAAAGAGAGAAGGAAGGAAGAAAGGAGGGAAGGAGAAGGGGAAATGACTAGAGCACAGTGAAGGGACCCTGAATCCTTGAGAGACAAGGATACCCAGGCTGGGCTACCTATCCAGGCCCAAGCCTAGGGGGGCCTGAGGTCAGAAGGCATGCTCTGTATCTCCCCTGGATTGCCACTGCAGCAGCCTGGCCCAGATCATCATCCGCTCTCACTTGGCGCTTCCCAGCCTCCTTTCTGGTTACTCCACAGCTAATTTGGCCCCAACTTTTTGCCTGTCTGATCCCTGATAGAAGCTGGAAAAACTTCTTTGAAACATGAATTGGATGATGTCATTTTCCCACTAAAAACCCTTCGAATGATTTCCCTTCACTTTTCGGTTTTCCTTATGGAAAGGCCCTCAGCCGTCTTTTCAGTCTTATTTCACACGATACCCTCTCTATCACAGCCTCTCCCCTGAAGCCACACTGGCTTTCCTTCAGTTCCTTGAGCTCCCCATGCCCTTCTATGTCACACGGCCTTTGCACATTCTGTTCTATTAAAGTTCTCTTCCTTCCTCTCTGTGACCTGTGAAGGTCCATGTATTCTTCAGATCTCAGCTCAGTCATCCCTTGCTTAGGGAATTCTTCTGATCCTTCGAATATGTTCGGAGTCCCACTATTCACTCCTAGAGCACTGTATATGTCTTCTTAGCCCTTGTCATGACTGTGGCTTGACAGGCATTTGGAGGAATGTTGATGGCCATCTCCATCGCTAGAATAGATGCTCCCTGACAGCAGGACCACCACTCCCTTCCACTTTGGTTTCTCCAAACCTGGCCTATGGTTAGTACCCAGTAAATAGGAACTGAATGTGGGAGAGTCTCTGAAGGGCATGAGCAGTGGTCTCTTCTCTCTGCTTCCCAACTATGACAGAGAACACCCAGAAAGGAGGGGTGAAGAAAGCTGGGCCCAGTGGCACTTGGAACAATGATATTCCAGTAAGGAAGAAGATATTGAGCCTGAATGAAGACAGTGGCAAGATGGGACACAAGAGAGAGAAGGACAAGAACAATCTAACCCTTCTGCAAGCTGCTTCTGAGAAGGCAGGATCCAGGAAGTCAGGAAAAATGAAGGCAATGAGAACTCCAGCGCTGGGACTGCAGAAGATGCCATCAGTGTCCCACCTACTTCCCACGGCCTCACTGTGAGCAGCACGCAGCTGGTAGGGTGGGTGTGCAGGGCCAGGATGAGGGTGAAACATGCACGGAGATGCCCACGCTCAGCTGTTGACCCTGCATGGGCACAATTCTGGCAGCAAGCTCCTCCGTAAAGCCTATGGCTGAGGCTCTGAGCTTGTTTCACCCTAGCCCTGCCCTGCCTGCATCTCTTAGACTGAGGACTTTCTCCAAAGCTGAGAAAGGATCCCCTGCCCAGACACAGGCAGCCTGCAAATCCTGAAGGGTTAGTAACCCCAGGAGAAGCCCTCCACCACGAAATACCCCAGCTTCTTCACCGTTCCCCTGAAGTTCCTTCCGGAGTTCCCATAAGGATGAGGATGAGCTACCTGCAATCCTAATGGGCTTGAAAACTCACCCTTAATAAGCTGCTTTCTCTTCCCTGTCATACAGCCCCCCTTTCCTACTGGTATTCCTGTCTCCTCCTACATAAACTGCTTGGACTAAAATCTCTGTCTTGGATCTACTTCTGAGAAACCCAAATGGAGACAGACAGAATTGAAGCACCTTGACGATACCACCTTGATGGGTTTAAATAAACCAGAATCTCCTTTCTAATTTAAGAGTCAATCATTCTGCAAGAGATCAGGGCCAGAGCAGGTCTGCATTCAGTGCTGAAAGGAGACAGTGCTGAGGTAACCAGTGAATTCAGAAAGCAGCACAAGACATAAAGGGGGATCAAGAAAAAAAGAGAAATGGAAAAAAAAAAACAAAAAAAAACCCTGGAATTGAAATGGGATATGTAAAAAAGAAACAGCCCTGAGGAATGGAAAGTGTTCCTGCCCTTGTATGTGTCCCTCCCAAAGGCAAAGCCTGCTGCAGCTTAATAAATAGAAATATTCTTGGCGCAAGAAGAAAACTGGCTGTGATTAGCATCTTAAGGAACCCAGAGCACTGCGAGGCTGGAGTGGAGGACAAAGGCCCAGGCCAGGGAGAACAGAAAAGATTAAAGGGGACAAGTAGGAGGGAGGGCACTGCCTACAAATGAAACAACGAGAGACCTTGACAAAATATCCCCTTTCTTCCAAGTGATTCTATTTAGAATTTAGTAATAGAGACAGTGGGGTTTCTAGGGAGTGGACATGGAAAGGAAGTGAAAGGGAAGGAAATGAATGGGTAAAATAAGAACAAAGAGTCCTTTGCTTCCAAGT